ACCCCCCCCCCCCCCCCCCCCCCCCCCCCGCCCACCCCCACCAGGAATAGTGAGCAGCATTTCAAAAGCCCGTACCTTTCAAGTGAGACTTCAACACGGATTTTTAGAGCATCCCTTCAAAATCTCCAGGCTACTTTTGAAGTTTTGTCATCCCTGTTGGTGTCTCCCATGGTGCACCTTGTCTCTGCTTAGTACAATTATCTCCTATGAATTCTCTTGAGATCCTGTGCTTTTCAAATAGAAATACTGTAGTCATGTACCGAAAAGATGCCGCGAGTAAGAGAATAAATGGCGGAGAAAATGTGAAGTACTTGGTACTGGTCTCTGGAGCACTAATGGGGCAGTACCACATGGTTACTTTAGTCTAGATGATCCTCAAACAGATGTCATCCAGTTAGTGTTTTTTTATATATGTGGTGTGTTAATCAGAGATGCACCGATCCGATATTTGGATCAGTGTCGATGCCGGTCCAGGCCTATTTAATGGATTGGGTATCGGCCATATGTGTCCGATACTTACTTATTTAGTTTTTGGCAGTCTCTAAAGAGAGCTCCTATTTTGTTTTAAATCTGTTTGCACAGTTAATCACACGACAGCTCTTCCCCATTTTAGATGTATTTTTGCAGCATTTAAGCTGAGCGCTATCGCTGCCACTCAGTTTTTCTGCCACTCAGTGGGTATGAACGCAGTGACTTCCACCTGCTGTGTCATTCACATACTCTTTGCAGTACGAGAAGTGTAAGAACTTTGGATAAGAGGGTGACGATCTGGAAGTATTTTCTGCTTTTAATAGCAACTAGTAGTACAGCGGGCTGCAATCTTTGTAAAAACTAATTTTGAGAGGTGGGAGTAGTGATCAGTGGAAAATCCCACTAAAAGCGCATGCAATTGTATGAGACAATGCAAGTAATATGAAAAATGCAATGGATGATTTGGGGGTCGCTAGCTTGGGCTGTTTTGCTCACATAGAGCAGCTTGTGATACACGAGTGGCTGCTATCGTAACGAAGTGTAAGTGTCGCTGTTGCCAGGGGGAGAAAAATTGTGGGGCATTTTAAGCATTCGCCACTTGCATATACTTGCTTGGAAGATATTCAAGCTGAACTGCAAAATGGATCAAAACAGCTTAAATCAAGATGTACAAATGAGGTGGAACCGTACATTATGTATGTTCCTAGTAGTAATTAAAGATTTTTTTCATTTGCATTTACTAATTTTAAAAAACACAGACAGATGGATAGATGGATATTGTATGAAAATATTAAAGTAAATAGAGCTCTTGTATCGGTATCAGAATTGGATTGGAACTGAAATAATGTGAATCGGCCTATCCCTAGTTTTAATAACTATGATGAATAAAACATTTGTAAACATTGCAGAACTAGTGGTGTTTAGCCATTCAGATCTTGGCATGTTTAAGTGAAATGCTGGTTGGCTACAGCGGCACATTGAATGCAAGCTCAATGTTGAAATTAAATGTGGTGGTGATGTCGCAACCAGGCTGGGTGGAGTCCCCCCCCCCACACACACACACAGGTTTTCTCAATCCACCAATATGATAAAGTGCCACTGAAATGCTTCGTCTTATGATTTAGCTTAACCTGAGGAGTTGTCTGGATGTGATGGCTTGTGATCTGGAGCTCAAATGTGATGGAATAACACTCAGATCTTCGAGAGGTGGTAATGATGGTGACTTAATTTGGCAGTCAAATTGGCACTGAGTCCTAGAGGACTATGTGTATTGAAACGGTCTACAGTTACTGTGGCGTTCCTTTGGGGAGTCGAGTGTGGCCTAATGTCATGCACCCTCTTTGCCTTGTACACGTCCACGTGGCCCAGGATAGAGAGTGGGTGCGATCTGTCAGTCCCCAGGCAGTGTCCTTGGTGCAGGTGCGGCATGGTGTCCCTGTTCCCCTAAGGATCATTTCCTATTGGTCAGTCAGCATGGGGAACAGGAAGTAAAGTGTGCTGAGCAGGCAGGTGTGGGCATAGCTGAAGATGCCCCTGGGAATTTGCTAGCAGAATCACGGCCAGATGGGTGGAAAATTGTCCTCAACAAAGGAACTGTACAGGTGTGCTCAATCTCTGCTGTAATGGTATTCTGGCCTGGGTGGCGCGTTCTGTGTCATGGTGTTAGGCTGCGGAAGTTTTCAGAACAAGGTCAGGACTTCACTAAATCTTTTTCCGCAGGATCTCTGATCTTTGGCCATTTGGACGCTTTTCCTGTAGCATCAAAGCACAGCATCGTGGTCATCGAGGCCATGTTTCATTGTTTAGCTCATTTATTTAGTTGTATGTTTTGCAGGATAAAGTTTGCATTGTCTCTTTGGTATTTCTCTTGCTTTGTATCCTGTGTTGCCTGTATTTTTACAAGGGTAGTAAACGCCCAAACACAGTGGTATTAATTTGTATCAATGATCAGCTGACACTGGAGGTCCTGGTGACAGACTCCATCGTACTTCCCGTGTAATTAGACCCACGTAACCCAATTCCTCAAATGAAATGCTGACGCGGTGGCAGGGGTGATGGATATTAAACCTTAATCTAGAACTGGACAGCTGCTTTTAGAGGAGTTTTTTTTAATACGTTACATTTTTCTGTTTAAGCCTAATATTTTTTCCCCTCTTAAAGGAAGATCTAATAGCATATTTCCATCCTGCTGGGCAGATTTGAATTTTTTAAACCAGCGCACTCAGATTTTCATAAGGTAACTAGGCGATGTGTGCCTTGTCTGCTCTTCCTAATAAATCACCGCCTCTTGTGCTTACCTGTGTGTCGGGATGAGATTCAGGGGCATAATGACGGCGCGAAGTGTTACCGAGACTCAGGCGGCGACGTGATATGTACTTTGAAGAGTCATTATGTGACTTTGAGTCAGTAAGGAAATAGACAGGAGTGAACTCCATGTTCTGCATGTGGATGAATCAGTGTAAGCAAAATATCTCCGCGGGTGAGTCGGTATGCAGTCGCACATTTTTCTGTTATTGAGACAGGATTGGTCAATTATTGCTTTAATGTTTAGTTGTTTAGATGTTTGCACCTTCTGTGTAGACTGAGGTTATGAACTCGGAGTTGGGTGTTGCTCCTTTCTCTGGCCTTCTGAGCCCCTGTGAAGCTGCCGGGAGGTGGGATATATGTCCTTGTTCGAGTCTGTCAGAAATAGCTCACAGGCACACTGGGCTCAGCAGTGGGAAGGAGGCAGCTGTGTCGCTTGTTAGACGTTAGTGTCACCTTGCCCCTGATGGAAGAAGCACAGCTGGGCTGCGGGGGCTCTAGGCGGCATCCGGCCCTCTCCTCAGTGTAATCGCGGTCATTTTTACTCCATCCCTTGTGTTTTCATTTACTGGATCAGTCCTGGGCCGCCTAATTCTGATCTGAGGATACATCCTCGATGAACAGATCGGGAGCCGTTCCGGTTTTGGTTGCACTGACCGACTCACATGGGTTCCATCTTGCATGTCAGCTGCCAAAGCTGAAAGAAGCGTAACACATTCCCGACAATGACTCTTCTCTGTGTGCAGTGGTGAAAACATTTTAAAAGTCCTTTTTTACATCTAAAAACTGATTGTAAATTTAGCTGTGCTAAATTTTTTGTAAGAGTATACAGCACCCTCTACTGGTGAAGTACTGTTAAATTCTGCACTGTCCCATAGTCACTGTTGTTACTGTTCTAATGGGTAAAAGCAGTTTAATTTGAATTATGCTAAATGTGCATATGTGTATAACTTCAACTTTTTACTTGTTAGGTTCAGCATCATTTGCTTTTCAGATGTTTTTTTTATGGTTTCTCTACAAAAAATGTTTTGTTGTATTAACCAGAACCCTTTATCCAGCAAGTACAAAAAGTACAAGGAATTTGTCCTTTTAGGATTCTAATTCTGACACAGAACCAAGATGTTCAGTGTCACATGTAATCTTCAGTTTATCTACATAAATTTTAAATGTTCTGAAAGCCTTTTTTTAAATGAAAATATAACTAACATAACGAATGACAAATATCTTGGTATTTCATGAGAATGACCTCAGTTTATACTGTCCCGTTGATTTGTCAAGGAAATATGGCTATATGTTACATTTTAATCCTGCATGCGACAGGTATTTATGTATATATTTCATATTTTAAACACGTGACACGTTAGTCACTAGTGACCTATAGGTGTCAATGCTGACGACTTCACTGGTAAATTTGGATAACGAGAGTGTGGTAAGAGAGGTCAGCTGTTTCTCTTCCCTGTTTAGGTCTGGCTTTGGGAATTTTGAGCCATACTGGGAATTCTGTGTCTTCCAGAGCATAGGCAGCCCACTCTGTTGGCTTTGGCTGAGTGAGGGCACCAAGCTGGAAAGTTGCCAAATTCAGATATTGGATGAAAAAAAAAAGAAAGTCTTTCTAATTACATGGAAACGTGCATCATATGTGTAATGCTTAATATGGCATAATTTGCAATTGCAACCATACTTCTTTGGGTGTAACATTTGTGGAAATGTTTTTTTTTTTTCTTCCATTGAGATCCATCTACAAATCAGTGCGAAGTGTCGTTTCAGGTTTAGACTCGGTTGGTCAGCAACCGCCTGCAACATTCCCTCTCTCAGCTGACTTACCAATCACTAACAATCCTTCCCTGAGCTGTCCAGTCATAGGTCACCCATCTTCCTCATTAACATATCTGAATGGACACTCTGTGATCCCACATGCTGCTTATAGCCTGCTCCCCGTTCCATCGCAAGAGGACTGGGTCCTTAAAGGAGGGCTTGCTGTTTAGTGTTTAGCGCTCTCGTGAACAGTCAGCAGTGTTCATGTGTGTGGCACCCGTTGCCAGTCAGTATTATCTGAAATGGTGCCTGCAGCTTCTCAGCAACCTGGAATGTCTGACTCAAGCATGTTGTTGTATTCTCACTGTATGTATGTGTATGTCATGGCTCTGTTGTAGCAAATCTGAGTGGTCATTTTTTTTTGTCCTAATACTCATGCTACTTTTTTTTTCCCCCTCTCCCTTCCACAGAAGGAACTGAGCCTTCCACGAAGAGGGAGTTTGTAAGTACCAATGTTTAAAGTCTCCATTGCTGATATGATGTTCATTGGTAGACAAGGAGAGTCATTATGTAAAGTAGTGGAAGATAACTGCATTAGGGTTGAAATTGGCAGTAATGCCCCCAAAGAGGTGATTTCACTGACAGATTCGGTACAATGAGTTCACCGTTTCTGCTTTTAACCTGGGTTCGAGATCTCCCTCTCATGTAGGTAAATAGAGCTGGGGCTCGCCAGCCAAGACACACTGAGCTTGGGGGTGTTTGGTCGCCGTGTTTTGACCGTGGCCTGGCAGAAGGCCCATTCTGGCACATGAGGGGGTGCTCAGATGCAGAGCTCCTAGGGGGTCTTGTGTCTGGGGCGCCCTGCCACGTCCCTTTGGGAAACATAGTTGTTAATTAGTGGTAATCTTGCAGCATGGTGCCGAAGGTCCCCCAGAACAGAGCTCTTGGTGCCTCTTCCTAAATGTTGCATGATGTTAAGTGGGGTTGTGGCGCATCCCAATGTGTGAAGGACTTAGTTGAATGTAGCATTAATATCTTGTATGTCTTTTAGCAGTTTTTAAATAGGAAATGAGAACTGGTGATCATCGGAAGCCAGACTGGGACTTGGCCGTGTGCTTAGAGTATTTCGACGGGTCTTGCTGGGAACAGCTGAAATGAAATACAAGTTTCCCACTGTCTGTTTTAGTTCATGGATTGATGGATAGAATAGATCTTTATTGTTATTGTTTCAAAAACAATGAAAGATGGATGGATGCATGCATAGGCGGATAGCTGTTTCTGTTGCTGGTTAGTTTTAAGCTGTTTTAAGCAGGAGCGGAGAAGTGGGATTTCAGGTAATAGTGGAAATATTTTTGTATTGTTTGTGTATATACACTCATTCTAATATGGTCTAATTTTCTAATATGAATGCTAATGGTACCTGCCTGAAAAAAATGGATAATATTCTTGAGGCCAAACAAGGATGGCTGTCTGTCTGGTGTTTAAAAGTTTTCTTGGACTTAAAAAGTTCTGTCGTCTGTCAGGCTGTGTTTGGACTTTTAAGATGTTTTATTACCCCCTGATGGGGCAAGAGAAGATTCTCAGTCGGGCATGGCTGCCTTCAGAGAGACCGACTGTGTGACCTTTATGCCCATAGCCATGGCGGCTGCACCCAGGTTATCCCACTTCCAGTTGAGAGTCTGGCTTTGGTCCTGGAGTAAATGTCAATCTGCTCTGCATTTCATTCTGAGGAGGGGGGGTCCTCTGTGACGTTGACAAGTCTCTGAAACATTGCCATGCCCCAAATGCAGGGGGTGCCCTTCCGGCGGAGCAGCTGGGAGATGCGTTATCTGGCTCTGCCTTACTGGGCCCCTCCCCTGCGTCTCCTCCCTGTCCCCCGTGCTGAGGCAGATCTGCACCTGCAGCTGAGGTCCGCGTGATCCCGGGCGTGGTGACGGCCCCGGTGGGATACTGCAACAATTAGCCAGTGACTTTGTAGCTGCGAGTCCTTGTGGAGTGCAGGCCGCAATGAAATGGGGGCAGCCCGCAGGAGAGTGCGTCAGTCTAGGGGTAGGTGGGAGGAGAGCTGCTTCCTGTGTGATTGTTTGGGCTGCTTTGGGGGGGGGGGGTGGTTTGTAACACACTGCCCATGTTGAATTTCATTACTTTACAGGGGAAAAGGACTTTAAACATGTTAAAAATTAACAGAATAATGGCCATGAAATATGAACAGGGAGGTGACTGTCTTTGCATAGCCTGGCTGAATAGAATCTCTTCTTGATTTGAGTTGAGCTTTTTTTGTGTCCTGTACATATGGGGGAGGAAGACACCCATGCTTTTTTCCCTACTGCCTCTGTATGTCTTTTGTACCTTTTACACCTTCAGCTGCAGGACTTAAGTCAAAAAAGTATAGGAGCATTGACAGAAAACATGGCGCCCTCTTCTGGCCTCTGCATGCTTCTGAGAACAGCACCTAGATGCATTTGCAGTCTGGCTTTCACCATTACACTGGACAACCAAAAGGCTGTCGGCCAGCTGTCCGCTCATCTCCCCTTATCGCCAGTGCTATGCGCCGCTTCTTTCTTTGGTGGCTTTTGTTACTCTGATTGTATCTTACTCGTATGACTGACTGTCTGCAGAATGGGAAATTGTGATCAAACCCTAGAAAATATTCAGACATATACCCAGTATATGTATGTATGCATGCAATTTTAAATGTTTTATGGGCCTTATAATTTTAACCCCCTAAGACGTGCTAATAAGGTACTTGGCTTGTTACACTAGACATGATATTTTACATGATTTTCTGACTCCCTCAAGGTAATTAGCCCAGCCTGGCAGCTGTTTGACTTTGCAGGTTCTCATCTTAACTGCTGTGATTACTTGCTGTTGGCTTTTGTTTCCAGGGTGACTCTTGCCTTTAGTGTTAGAGATGCCATTTTTAATCGCCAATTGACAACCTCGTTAAAGTGACACAGAAAGAAGGTTTTTAACCATGCTCCCCTTTAGCTTAGGTTTATAGATGGCTGTTTCCTCAGTTTGTGGCTCTATGATGAGCTGAGGTCACATGTATGTAAAATAACTACTTCCCCTCCGCTCCTTCAGTGTGCACTTTGAACAAATTGCCGGTGTTTCCCGATTAATATGACTGTGCTGCAATTGATTTTAACAAGTGCTGTTTGCATTGACATTTACATTGAAAGAGGCCGCTCTGAGCAGCCATATATGAAGATGTGGGTGCGGTATACAGGTGTGTGGAGAGCTTCTTGGTCTGGGCCTTGACTTGATGCATCTCCAGCTCACTTTGTCCTACTTAATAAACATCCCTTTGCATTGCGGGGCCCTTCTGCCGCACGATGTTGCTGGTGGTGAGTCATGTGCTAATTCGTCCACCGTTGCTGGCATGAGGAGCGCAGATGAGTGCCGTCTAATAGCGGTTTGGTGGAATGAGGTTGCTTCTAGATGATGGAGGAATATTGCAGTGGTCTGTGCACAGTGATGACTGTAAACTCTTTCAGTGGCTTCTGTAAAACTGCAGGGTTCGATACGGAACTGCTACAGTGTCACATGGTCGGCTCTGTCCCTTCGTCTCCCCTCCAGATGTAACCCTACACAGGAAGCACACCCCTTATGCTGGCCAGCGTGTGGCTCTGCAGGATAGGACACTGTGCCTGTGATCGGAAGGTCGCCAGTTCGAATCCCATGGCTGGCAATTATGTGACCTTGAGCAAAGCCTTGAACTCGAAGCTGGTCTAGACCCTGCTCTCTGACCCTCGCTTGTGTGTCTCTCTGGACAGAAACGTCTGCTAAATAAGTAAATGTAAATACATGAAAATGTTATAGGTGTGTATGAATAGCTTCCGCTGGGTGCCATGCACACATGCTCAGGTGCATTAATGTTTAAGCCCATGTGCAGGTTTGAAAATTGTGTTGATTGCGGTGGCAACGTCGTGGTAAGCATATACGTAATGTGATGCTTATGTATTGATGAATATTTATGTGAGTGTTTTTATAAGTATGCTTTCCAGCCTAAAAGTGCTAAATAATCTGAGCACAGCTGCTACAGCAATAGCTAAATAGCTTAATACCCCTTATACATGTACTGGTTCTGGTTGGTAATGGTCTACTTTTTAGTTAAAAAAAAAAAAAAAAAATTCTGTTGCCCTTAGTTATGTGATCCAAACTTTCCTCAAAGTTGTTAATCATATATTGTTTTATATTGCTGCACAAGTTTTAATTGCACTCATAAGGGTTTTCTCAACTCAAAGCCAGACAAAAACTTGTAGCAGGCTGCAAGATATGTGAATTATAACCACCGTCATTATTCACTAATGAGTCAGGCGTGTACAGACACGTTTCAGTGATGCTGTACATTCATAATTACCGTTTATTAGGAGGTTATTAGGGGGCTGTGGTAAGGTACACATGTACTGACTGTCATTAGGTACTGCTTCAGGATTAGTATCAGTGTTATGGGACTGTAATCATTTTCCCTCTCCAGAATTTTTTGGCTCAACTATGGTTCCTTGTCCTCCATATATTTCCCTCCTCACACTTTTAAGAGAGAATGTCAGTTCGGGTTTTATGGATTTTTATTCATTATAAGAAGTACTGCGGACTTTACCATCCCGTGGAAACCTCTTAGATGTTTAAATTTAGTCATCAATAACCTTATTAAGAAGGTATCCTGCTAGAGGAGCAAAATGCATTACATTTGCTGTACCATGTTCCTATGAGTGGCTGCGTAATTAGGTATGTTCCCGGCTGCGTAATTAGGTATGTTCCCGGCTGCGTAATAAGGTATGTTCCCGGCTGCGTTGCCTGCCTGAGCTGCTAAAACTTAAACATGATTTGCAGGAGAACAAACTTACTATTAACTGGATAATAACTATAAATTTTAATTGAATAATAATGTAAAAAGTCCCCTTAGCATCTGTTTTTAAGGAACATATATGCTGTTTTAAATTTTTAATTTATTGTGACTCTAGGTGCAGTATTGTAAAGGTTTAGCTGGTCACTGGGTGTGTAGCATTTCGGTCTTCTGGGCGTCACCTTTGTGCTGAGCAAAGTGTGTGTGTGTCTGTGTGTAGCTTATGTGTGGATATATAAAGACACATAAAGTGTAATTGTTGAAGGCAAGGGAGAATGGCAAGAGTACAACAAAACCTAATCAATAGTGAACAATGTAGGGTGTAGTATCTTATATTTTTGAAAATGTCATACACACACCACACCTCAACAACATCAAAAATTTATATGAGCGCTAGCTGGAGGTTTGTGTATCACTATTGACTGAGCCGACCAGTTGATTGTAGAGGCCAAAGCTGCCATTGAGGATGGTATCAACTATCATTAAGGCCTCGTTTACACCCGAGCTGACCCAAGCCAATAACACTGCCTTTATTAGGTAGCCATGTGTATTTTTGTTTTGCCTTAATCTGTATATGAATCTTCACTACGTCTGTCTGTTTATACATTTACGTACTGGACAGGTGGACCGGTTTGGACCAGCTGGCCCTGTTGCTGCATTTCTTTCCTCTTCAGTGTCAGCCGTTTCGTTTTCAGTTAATTTGACATTATTTGAACCCCCCTTTCCCTCCCCGATTCTCTATCGAATGTCAGCCACACACATGATTTCCACACGAGATATGCGAGTCGCCTGCGGCCTGTCATGGGGGGGTACCCCTGAGGTCAGGGCACTCTGCAGCATGTCAGAGATGATAGCGGTGGTCCTTTGAGGGTGAAAATATAGGTCTGGGGGGTGGGGGACTCCGCTTGGTTATAGTGACTCTCGTGTCGCCACCCCCTACAATACCCCTCTTCGTGAGGCCCCAGGCCATCATACACAGGATGACCTACCCCCCCCACATTCTCCCCATGTGTCAGAAGCATGCTTCTCACATAATCAGAATGGCCAGTGGGAGGGGGGTGGTGCTAGAGAGTTCTGAAGGCAGCTCTGCTGTGCTGATGGAGCGACTCACCATCGCTGTCGGGGGGAGGGGGAACACAGAGGTGGAAGGGTAAGGGGGGGCGGGGCTTGGGGGGGCAGCGTCCAGAATCCCCGCCTTTCCCAGGCAGCTGACATTCTTATCTGACAGCTTGTGCTCGAAGTGGTAAGATTGTAAGTGGTTCCCCCCCCCACCCCGCTCCTCAGCACCACCCCCCCCCCCCCCCCCCCCCCCGAGGTATTGTTAGCCCATTCCTTTATAGTATTCGGGCTTGGCTCTCTGCGTGCACGGGGATGCTGGCGGTATGAATATATCATTTCCACAATAGCGCAGGCGAGTGCGGTGCCGCCATGAAAGCCCAGCGGGAGAGACTGAGAATTCCGGGGCTGACGCTGGAGTGAGTATTTCCCTCTCTTCTGCGCCTTGAACCACAGCCTGTCTCCTTTTCTAGCTTGCCTGCCTTCGCCTTTGTTTCTAATTGTTATGGGTAGAATCGCAGCTGATGATGCAGGCAGCTCCACTGCAGCCGAATCTGCAGGAAGCGCTTCTCATTATGTTGTTTATTTGTATGTACACTGCACCTAGCTAGCGGTAGCTGCCGCCCGCTTCTCTGACCGCTAGCTTAAGTCGTCAGGCTGGTGCCATTGCGTGATGCTACCCGACCGTTCCGCCTGTGCCGATACCGGGCTTAATCGTCCCGACAGTGCGCCAGTTATTGGAGCGGTTTGGCAGCAAGCAATCGATGCCTTAGCCTATGAAGTACCCTGACAAAAGGCCCTGTGTTGTCTGTGAATAGGCTCGGCTCAATGGTAGAGAATTAAGGAGAAACTCGGACAATTATCTATTGTCAGCATTTAACCTGCAGCCTCTTTCACGCCTGCGGGATTCTCCCCGCGATGAAGCGAAGCACAGATGTTGTCCCCTGGATGTAGCCGTCCCTGTAGCATGTTTACATTTGTGCTCAGTGCGGAACTGCTGATGGTGTTGCCACGGAGACACATCTGCTTACGCCAATACAGTGTGCTGCAGATTATATTGTTTTGTTGACGTGGAGCCATGCTACTACGGCAGTGCATTCTTAATTTCAGCTAGTTTGGTTACCATTTTATGCAGTTAGAGCATTTGTGATGTGTGAAATGAAGGATGGCTATGCATTTTATTATCTACATATAAACTGTATTTGTAAGATCATGGGAGCAGAATAATAAAATTAATCTGAGAAATGGTCCCCGTAAAGCTTGAGGTGCCCACATGAGCATGACCAGTGGCTTCGAGTTTATTGAATCAAGCTGTAGTTGTCATTTGCTGCAGCCTTCCTGAGCCGCATTTAACAGGGTTGCGTTTTTGCCCTGTAGTGGACTTACCTCCTCCAGGAACACAGGTGGCCCTCTGCTGGCAGAAGTCCATGACCTTCGTAGATTTATCAATCTGGCCAGTGCCTTTAAATTTAAGAGAAAAAGGATTCAGCTCCAGACAAGTTATTTGTTCTGCCTCCTTTATAAGTAGCATGATAAGGCATTCATGAGACTCATCACCTGCTCGGTTCAAAAATCACATTCTCATGATGGTTCGTGTTCAGGGAGGTTAGGTCTGAGACTAAGACGTTGTTGCTGTCCATTGGGTCATGTGAAAGGACTACTGTTTATGAAACTCAATTTAACTTACAGCCTCACTCCAAGAAGTTTGAGCCCAACTCCCACAAGCCCTTGCAGTCCATGCAGCCCGCTGCACGCTTTTCATTTCTGGAGGTAAGAGCGAGCTTCTATGACACGCTTGTTTCTTCTGTGACTGGCAGCTCCTCCCCAACTCGCATGTAGAGCTGTGAGTTCACACCTGCCTTTGTAACAGTGTTAGTGTTTTTTTTTTTTTGTGTGTGTGTGTGTGTGGTTGTGTTTTTTTATTGTGTTGTTATTGGCAGACAATGCCTGGTTGTCCAGTTTTGATGATGGTTCAGCAGTGTGGTCAATTTATTTGCTTCTTTGTTTATAAGATCATACTTCAGTTGTTCCTTTGTGTTTAAAACAAAAAATAAATCTGAAGAGGCTGTATCTTTTGATAGTTTAGAGGTGAGGTTTGAGAGGGATCTTCATATAATAGACTGTAACTAATGATGCTGGGGGATTTCACTTGTTTTTGTTTGAAGAATGGAATGCAGTAAGTTGGAATGGTACAGAAGCAGATGGAATGGGGAATGGAGGGCACTCTTTGGCCAGGGTTAGGGTTAGTTAACGGCCTGATCTCCCAGAAACTTTCTTGGCTGTTGGCTTTGACAGACTGGGCCTGGGCTGCTTTATTGAGGGCTTCCCTCATTTCTCACTTTGCAGACCCCTGTGAAAGGGGCTTTGTTTCCCACGCCTGGGTCCCGGCTTTCGCATATGAAATGGGTCATTGAGACTTGTTTGTACTGTCGTGATTAGCTGGTGTTTACACAATAATAGTGTTCTTGTGGTCAGCTTTGATTCAGGTTGCTGAATAAGGCAGCCTTTTCCCAGATATACATGATGTGATTTTGGAAATATGTGTTTTCCTGCTGCCTGTGGAATGTATCAAGGGCATCAAGGGCACCTTGTGGCAGTTAATTCTGTATGATGTCTGTAGGTGTTTTAGAAATAACTTTTATAGTTACATTTTGGATATTGGGCAGTTAAATACTGTGAATATAATGGCATTGTGAACTGATGATTGTCAGTTGACTTAAATGAGTATTTGGACAATGTGTCGACTGTAGTTTATATAAAGAATACCTAACTTTCTTCACATTATCCTTAGGGGTGTAACAATACATCGATTTGTATCGATATATTGATTCAACGGCAAACGATCCGATGCATCGATGTGACCGCATAAATGTCGATGCAAGCGGTTTGTTTTTCTCGCCGGTTCCAGTATTGTTTTCATGATCCACTCCGACATATACATGGTCTACACCAGGGGTGCCCAATACGTCGTTTGCGATCTACTGGTGGGTAGATGGTATGCCATATAAAATAGAGGTGGATGACGTCTTCAACTACGCCAGCTGCTGCAAATCTCTAGCAAGCTACCGAGTCGCCTAGTTAGCCTCCAAATTATTTCTACTAAACTTAAGAAAGGGTATAAGAATGAATGGGGGACCAAGTAAGAAGCCAAAAACCTACCACTTCCATACGGAATGGAAGGAGGAGATTTTTTTCCACAATGTCATATTCAAAGTGCATTTGGCTCATCTGTCAGTCTGCTGTTGCTATTCCAAAGAAGGGAAATGTGGAGCGGCATTTTCGGACTGTTCATAGAAACTACGTTTACTTCCCTCTGAAAACCGAGCTGAGAAATAGCAAGGTGAAGGAACTAAAATCCCAGTTCAATTAAAAAATATTTTTATTTATCCCCTAGGGAAATTAATAATAATAGTAATAATAATAAATAATAATAGTAATATTGAAGAATACTCAATATTTTTATACGTAAATATATGTTTTGCATTTTTATAATAGGTAGATCATTCTGACTTGGTCATTTATAAGTAGCTTGCAAGCTACAGTAGCGTACCTTCAGAGCGTGTGTTTAGTGTGTTTTTTACCTTATTGCACTTTATTTTGCTTGATTTATGGGACATACTTCACTACACTAGATTTTATTTAAAGTTCCCAATAAAATATGATAAAATGCTAATTACATTTGCCTTTTTTAATTGTGTGAAATTTCATCATTTCGACTACTATCCCCAGTATCGAACTGAATCGTATCTCGTATCGTATCGTGGGAATTTCTGAGGTATCAAAAAAAAATCGAACCATTGGCTTAAGGAGTCGATGTATCCTATCGCAAGGAAAGCTGTGATTTACACCCCTAATTGACCTGTAGATCTTGACTTCTCCATTCCTATAAACAGTGACTCAGCAGTCCGGCTGGTGGTGTGTGTGTGTGTGTGTGTGTGTGTGTGTGTGGGGGGGGGGGCATAATTAATGAGAATCCCTGTCTACTGCTGTCTACTGTCCACATTGTTTGCATTCAAATGAGAAATTCATCGTCTGTGTTTTGCAGAGTTCACAGAAAGTTTTGCTTGAAATTGTCAGATGCATCTGGTACATCTTACCTTTAAAACGCGTTTGTGTGTGTGCTACAGGGCTTTTCCTATTTTTAATGTCATAAATACAATTTTTTCTTGGCCTTTTATTTTCAGTGATGTTTTTCTGACCATGAACATACATTCCTGTTTTGCTTGTATCTAGTACTGCGTTTTTCCCATTCATACTGAAATCAAATCTTTAGGGTCAATGTGAATTGTACTGAAGGTTTAAGTGGGATTTAGGTTGGACCTCTTCAGGACCAAACTGAACGTGGACGTGAATTAGACTTTGGGTACATGTTACTGTGACCCATTTATAGGCCTGGCTGGAGGCCTGTTCTCATCATTGCTCGATGATCCCTTTATCACACGCTTGTCCCGGTTACGCCTCTGTAGGGTTGATACTGTGCCATACAGCATTGCTTACATGTGAGCGAGAAGAATGCTAATTGCATCAAATGCAGGTTACAACCATGAATCTTTGTGGCAGGCTTAAATGTACAAATTGAAAAACAGGACACAGTATGAGGAAAAAATATATATATATTTTCCACAGTAGATATGTTTGATATTCTCAAAGGTGCTATACTACTATGTAGCTAGTTAGTAAGTTGTTGTGAGCAAAGTTATTACATGTCTGGAATTTATATTTTGTTTTTCTATTTGCATTATGCGACTTGTTCTTTTGAAGAGCCAAGGTGCCCCTTCCATTCTGAAACCCTGTTTTCGATTCTCTTCATATTCACTTTGTAAATATGTGTATACAGTAAATAAAGTGTCTGCACATACACAATGTCCTTTGGGCTGTTGCGTCCTTTCCATTATAAAATTCCGATCAATAAGAAAATAATTTGTTGATTTTTGTTGAATAATATTGGTAGTCGTTAACCAGCATAATTGGACCAAATATCTTTTCTCTCTTTGTGTGTGTGCTTGTGTGCGAGTGAGTGTGTTTGGGGGGGTCTACTGTCATTGGAAGCAGAGCATGTGAGCGGAGCGGAGCGGAGCGTGAGCGAGGAGCGGAGCGGTTGGAATTAAGTCAGAGCGCGGAGCGGTTTTTTTAATTAAGGCTGGAGCGGTCGCTCTGTCTCGCTCCAATTTCGCTCCGATACCGCTCACACTACGATTCTGAGGCGTGCCCAAATCTACCCAGAATTCACCTGTACAATTATCAAGACTATTACAGAAATTGACCGAGATGGAAATCGCAAAGTATTTCACAAAGGAAACTGATAGATCATACAAGTGTCATATTATGGAAGCCCGTTTCCGCCACCTGAGAAAAAAATAATATAAAATTTAAGTCGAAATTTCGACTTACTATCTCGAAATAACGAGATAACTATCTCGAAATTTCGACTTAGTTATCTCATTATTTCGAGATACTAAGTCGAAATTTCGACTTAGTATCTCGAAACAAGTTTCTAGCTTTAATAACTTTTCACGGAAGTATGGTGGGGCGTTTTTAAGGACAGAATCGTGTTGTCCAGTACACAGACAACGATGCACACCGATTACGAAACATGTAATCAAGCAATTCAGCTGTGATACATTTAGGCCTACTTCGTCCCACGGTGCACTGCCTAAATCACACTTTACAACTTACTTATGGATTAATTTGTGATCAATTAACTGTCAATATGTATGAAATGGAGCAATGGCATGTAATATGGATATGATGTAATAATTAAACTGTTAGACAGAAAGTGATCTTGAAAATCCAAGGGGTGTGCATTGCCCCCTGACTCCACTGATCAAGGCACACTTCATAGGGCATGACTGTCTCATTTTGTTTGAGCAATTAACCCTTTAGTGCATTTCCCTTATGGCATGTAATATGCACACAGTGTATTAATTAATAGGCTAGCTGTTTTAGAGAACGTGATCTTGAAAATCCAAGGGGTGTCCATTGTCCCCCAGGTTCCCCTGATCCATGCACACTGCATAGGACATGGCTGTCTCATTTTGTTTCAGAGCTATTAACCCTTTAGTGCATTACCCCTATGCCATGTAATATGGATACAATGTATAATTAATAATTGATAGAGAGAAAGTTATTCTGAAAATCCAAGGGGTGTGCATTGTTCCCTGTAGTCCACTGATCAAAGCACACTTCACTAGAAGTGCCTGTCTTGTCTAGTTTTAAGGTTATTAACCCATTCATGTATTGTCCCATTGCACACTATACGGATACATTCAAACATTCAGAAATTAATTAAAATTTGTACGTAAAGCAATCTGGGAAACAAAGGGTTGTGCATCAGTCGCCATGAGCCCAAAATGCTAAACCACCATGTCATTACAGCTGACAGCACCTATAATATTAGCTATTAACACGATTTTGCAATTCACGAAATGGTTTGAAGCGCAAAAATAATCGGTGTGCATCGTTGTCTGTGTAGCCTACTGGACAACACGATTCTGTCATTAAAAACGCACCACCTTCCGTGAAAAGTTATTAAAACTAGAAACTTGTTTCGAGATACTAAGTCTAAATTTCGAGATAGTTATCTCATTATTTCGACATACATACATTCTATGATTCTTATCAAACGTATAGATGACAATAATGTAGAACAAGAATAACAAGGTGGTGAAACTGTTTCAGTGAGTAAAGATTCACTTTGGAATCATTTTCCTCAGAAACACGAGAGTGTTTTATGCGAACAGACGGAAGCCAGAGCAAAACGTGAGCAAGTT